TGATTTTTTGGAAGTAGAGTGCCATGCCATTCTTCTGAGGTGCCTCTGGGTGGACTCAAACCTCCAACATTTCGGTTAGCAGCTGAGCATGTTACAGTTCCCCCATATCAAATAAGAAACAATGAAGTCTCAGCCAAGTTAAGAGGCATTAGTAAAAGGTGTGAATTTTTTTCCTCTCTTGCCAAATAATCCAAAGAAAAAGATTGGATTAACTCTCATGGGTTTCCCCAGAGTGATCAGTTTTTGGAAGGCCAATATGAAAACAATTTGAAAGATACTGCAGAGCATTCTGCTCCGAAGAGGGCTCTGGGAACGGCCAGTGGCCTTTGAGTTTAGATGTTTAAGTTCCTGACAGCACGTCTTGGCGTCAGCCCTTGGAGACAATCTGTACTTGATATCCAAGGCCCTTGGGCATTGCCAAGATGCCCAACTGGGCAGAGTCCTTGACTTAGTGCCTCTGGGTCCTTGACCAAATGCACCTGGTACATCACCTCGGCTTCATCCAAAGAGCTGGCGTTATTCTTGCTAAATAAAGATCTGTTATTGATAAACAGCAAAATCTTACGTAAAAGTATTGGGAGACAATAGTACTTAAGACCTCGGGTTCTTGAGTTGTGATTCTCAACACTGTCAGACCCAACGCCCCTTTTAGAACATATGTTTAAAAGCCGCCTTAACAATCTTTAAATGAAATTGACTGGCAAAGTTTAGAGGGGGAAATCAATATACTGGATGTAATATATGTTACGGTATATTAAGTGCTCAGACCCAACTAATAGTGGAAACAAAGGCTTCGTGAGATGTTTGCCCTTGTATGGATGTGACAAATACAGAGGAGGATGACGCAGGACCAGGCAGTGTTTCCTGCTACCTTCTGTTGCAGATAGGGTCACTAGGAGTCAGAATCGACTCGACGGCACCTAACAACAACAAAATAGGGGGCTCCTTTGGTGATTGAGATGCTATGAGCAGCAGCAGCATCAGGGACGTGATTCTCAAAAATAGTGAATTACTCTTGGTAAAGCTCTGAATAATCCATTCTTTCCTCAGTTTACCCAGTCATATGTTCCTAGAAAATTCAGCTCCCATTAAAACTGTAAATATGCTTTGTGTTTCTCTATACAATAGCTTTAGGTTCTAGACTCACGTAATCATAAACCATTGAATGTTCAGCCGGAAATGAGAAAATCATGTCGGGTGCAGAACAATTTTCAACTGTGTGAGATTGAGATTGCCCGTGGATTGCACATCAGGCGTCATCCCTGGTCCCCACTCTCTGAAACCCCAATTGCACTCCTTTTCCCTAGTCATAATGATGACAGAAGATGCCTGCACGCACGCACACGCATGCGCGCGCACACACACACACACCATCCTGCAGGTAGTGCTGTCACACCCTCCGGGATGACGTGCATCTGAACTGAAATTCCAGCTCTGCTGTGAGATGGTGGGCAGGTTACTCAGCTCCTCTGGCTTCGTCCTAATCTGTAAAACAAGGTTGACGTTAGTCCTTAACTCAGAGATATGGTTTGAGCATTAAATGAGACTGCATGATAAGCTCGTAGCAAGGTGCCTGCTGTTATTGTTGTTAGCTGTTCCCAACTTATGGAGACCCCACACGCAGCAGTCCTGCATCACTGCCCGATCCTGCTCATGCTCGTGATTGGTTATGGATCAGGCCATTCTGATCCATAAGGTTTTCATTGGCTGATTTTCATAAGTAGATTGCCAGGCCTTTCTTCCTAGTTGGTCCTAGTCTGGATGCTCCACTGAAACCTGTTCAGCATCATAGCAACATAGTTCATGTCGATTGGTAGGTTTTTTTTTTTGAAGGGCGTCAGTATCCTATCAGAGAAACTTCCTAGCCTGTGTTAAGGAGATTCACCCATTTGGCCCAAATAATGTGTCTTTAAAGTTAACGAATATACCAAGCCATGTAAGCAGATAGTCCTAAAGTTTCACTTCTCCTCTTCTGTCTGCCTCTCCCCAGAGTCTGATTTCTTGTTAATCTCTGTTTACACACACATGCATATACACACAGAGCTACTGAAAATATCTCAGATTCTCAGAGGATTTCCTTTCATTGTCCTTGCTGTTCTTATCACCAGAACTTCAAATGCCTACCAAAAATATGTGGTTTTTCCGAAGAACAGTTGGTCACATTTAGAAGGGAGGTCAGATGCCCAGACAGTCTTTTAATTATGTTGAAAAAATAAACACAGTTCTCCAGTATTATAGCCTCTTACACAGCTGCAGCTGGCCTTAAGGAGTTTTTATTCTTTGGATTTCAGAGCCACAAAACCTAAGTAAGTGGCTAAAACGAAGTGAAGATGATATTAGAGAATGGTTATTCTCTTGGATCGTGAAATGAACTGGTGGGAGCATTTGTGTCAATGACAGCGGCCTGTGTCCTGTTTCTTTATTACTGCCTGAGGTGACCAGCCACAAGGTCAGCGTAGAATCAGTGAACACCAGAGTAGAATGTCTTTGTGGCCAATTGTCTTCCTCTTTATGTGTAATAGATATATATAAAATAATATACATTTAAAGAGGCACAACAGGTTCTTACAAGACCATATGCATGTATGTATTTGCAGTGAAGTTGTCCTCTGACACGTGCGTTTTTTTGTTTTGTTTTTTCTTTTTTTTTAATTGTAAAAATACAGCTGACAGAAACCTGTAGCGTCGAATACATATACTAATGATTTAACTGTTGATTATATGATTACCACTTCTGTTACTTGTTTGTTCCTTGAGTGTGGTTTGCTGTGTTCTTTCCCACAGCTGGTGCACCATTTTGGAAACTCATCATCAGGAAATTCTCAGAAAGTACAATAATCCTTCCACTGACCCCATTTTACAGAGAGTAATAAAGTCACTCACTATATGTTGTTGCAGGTGGGAAAAAAAGATGAACTACAGAGAAACGACTTCATTTGTCACAGTGTTGTATCTGTGAGTTGCAGAAAGAGTTGTGTCTTTATTCTAATACATGAAGTACTGGAGCTCCTTGCAGCAATGTTGTTGTTAGGTGCCGTCGGCTTGGTTTTGACTCATAGTGACCCTATAGGACAGAGCAGAACCGCCCCGTAGGGTTTCCAAGGAGCGGCTGGTGGATTCAAACTGCCGACCTTTTGGTTAGCAGCCGAGCTCTTAACCACTGCGCCACCAGGGCTCCTGACTTGCAGCAGTAGTTGTTATAGAATATTCAATGTATAGACTATTTAATACGTACAGTTAGAGTACGTGGGCGTTTTTGAAACAGGTGTTTAAATTTATTTTCCTTTCTTCCTCATTGCAGTTACAAGTACAGCCTTAGGAGTGGTCGTTTGCCCAAGTCTCTTACATTGTAAATGTTGGGGTCTGGGGTCGAAACAAGGGCAGCCAATGCCTCCACCCTCCTTCCTCCTCCACCACGCTGCCAGTGTCTGCGCCATAAAGGACCAAACCGCTTCTCTCTCTCTTTTTTTAAAAATGTAGATAATACCCTTAACCAAGTCGACATTTTTCGCATGTACAGTTCACTGACACCAATTACGTTAATCATGTTGTGCAGCTGCCATCACCGATACCCATTGCTGAATTTTCCATCCCCATCAATAGAAACTCGCTGCTTCCTAAACCGAGACTCCCCCTTTCTCCCTCCCTCCCGCCCCGGGTAACCGCTAATGAACATTGATCTCTATCCATTCGCCTATTCTAGGTATTTCATACAAGTGAGATCATACAGTATTCGTCCTTCTGTGATTGACTTACTTCACTCAGCATCTTTTTCTCTTTGATTCCTCCAAATTTCTTAGTGCTCTCGGAAACATTATTTTCTCATATTTCTTCTCCTATTTTAAATACTTGGCTTTGCTGTGGCTTTTTTCCCTTCACTGCTGTGCCCGTGTGTGGCATTCATAATCGATTTGGGCTTATCACCCCACTTTTGAATGCCGGCACTGTGTGCATCAGCAAACTCTGTGGTTTTGTGGAAGTCACTGATCCGGTTGCCATCCCATAGAGCACACCTTGCCTTCCTATTGACACCTGTGCTCTCTTTTTCTTACTGCCTTAACCTTTTCATTGCCTGGGCCCTCCCAAAGGGGCTTCTCCCTCCCTCGCCAGCATTTCCCCTTGTCGCCTTATTAACCCTAACGGCTTGTTTCTCTCTCCATCACTTGTTTCTTCAAAGACCAGTATAACATCAAGGAAATACTCTTTGAGAATCAGAAGCCCTTTGGAAATTCCAGATAATGGTGAGCACTGCTGGCCACTGGTGTGCCGTCTGTAATGCTGCGTTTCCACTTGCTTTGGGTCAGACCCCAGACTACACACAAAGGGACAGTTATTAAAGTCAACAAGTAATGGAAGGAACCATCCACATTTCACACATTTCGACTGTGTGTCATCTCTCCAGCGGAAACCAGCCTCAAAAGAAACAAAGGGGAGAAACTCGCCGATTTCTCTCTTTTACCCTCAGTCTCGGGCGGCATTTGATTCACTAAATGGCAAATTATGTGGTGAAACTTTCCTCTCCTGATAAATTCTTATTTGCATGTCCCCTGGAGGTCTAAGCAAGTCCTTTTCTAGTTAATTAACTGTAAAGTAAGATAAGATTGTACGGTTGTAAAAAGGAGGTCTCCTTAAGGTTTTCTGCTGGGCTGGGTATAATATATGTCATTTCTGATCAAAAGCCGAGAAACTATCTCTAAACTAGCTGAAAGGAAAAGTCACACGCCCCAATCCCTCTTCTTTGATGTCACTGCTGATCCTGGTGACTTTTTATTCGAAAGCTAAGGAGGCGGATTGACACCTCAATAGCGATAAGTCCTTTGAAGTGGTGCCCCGCCCATTCCTTTATGTTCGGGATTAACTCACTGTGGTTCTTTTCCAGCTGCTCCTTTTTTGTAACTTATTTATTGCACATGCTTTTCCTTGCTCTGTGTCCCGGAGCCATGACTTACTATCTTGATTTGTCTTGTCTGCTTTCTGTGCATCTGGCTACCTGTGCCCAGTTGAGCCTGTTGACGCCCGCCCTGCTGCCGACCGAGGACTGACCACTCGACCAGGTATCTGACTCACTTAACTTCTGTCAGCATCCCGTGCTTGAGCTTGACCTTGACCAGGCGCCACCCCGTTTCTTCATGATCAAACCGAACCAAACCCGTTGCCGTTGGGTCGATTCCGACTCATAGCGACCCTATAGGACAGAGTAGAACGGCCCCGTAGGGTTTCCAGGGAGCGGCTGGTGGATTTGAACTGCCGACCTTTTTGTTAGCTGGGCCTTTTTAAATTATAAATCCTGTGAAATAGAAGTTGCAGTGACCATGGAAAGCGAACGTTTTTTAATTCCCCTTTTGCATTTTCTCACACTTTGTTTCCCAAGTTCCTAATTAAGTAATCTTTTTTGTGTATGTATCTGAGCTTTCGCTTTGAATCAGTTCAAGAGACCCCTTCCAACTTTCCTTTTTTCCTTTTTCTTTTTTTGTAAGGTAGAGAACTTGTCCTCAAAAACTGGAAGCCCACACTGATTCAGACTCTATGTGGTGGCGACTCAGTCAATGCTGAGCACATTGCTTCTTTTCTTTCTTGTTTGGTATCCGGATGGGTTCTGTTCTGTCTCATCTGGGCACGAACTTCAGTCAGTACCGAGGGAGACCTGATTTCCTAAAAATACCAGAATGGGGGTATCTCTAGAGCCGGAAATGTTGACTTTTTCTCCCTCTTGGGTTGCGTGTGCCCATTCCTGATGAATGTCTGTTGTAACACAGCAGATGTATGTGCGTAATTTTGCACACAAGCCCTTTATTTTTTTACATTGCTTACAAATCACATTAACACCAAAATAGACACTTCTGTTTTTACAGTTTCAAGCGTTAAGAAGAAATGCGTTTTCACCCTTTGTTCTGTATTTGGCATTTGTCTCAGTTAGTTTTAAGAATAATTTCATCACACCACAGCAGAAGCTCCCACATGCCGGTATCTGCTCTACACACAATGTTGTCCGGCTGATAGTACCCGATGTTGTCAATGAGTCACGCAGGGGCGGGCAGTTATCAAATTGATAAATCTGTGTATTCTGGGAGACTTTGCTCCCAACAGCTTGCATCTTCCCATATTTAGTGTCTTCTTTACCCTCATAATGGCCCCGTGCAGTGGCTAAGGAACGTAGAATTAACCTCACTTGAAGACATCAACATACAGAGGTCGACCTTGGCTCCTAGATACAGACAGAGTCAGCAGCAAGTCCAGGAGTAAACTTCACCTCTCTCGAGTCAGTGCAGGTTCCAGCTACATGCGCCTTCCAGCCAGAGTCACTGATGACGACTCTGAGAGTCTGCCTGGTGGCGTCCTCATGCCTCGCACTGTGATAAGCAGTGACGGCAGAGACAGTGAAGTGACACATCTTGACAGCTGATCTAGTTGGTTTTATGAATCTCTGTCTGCAGGGCTGTTAAAGGAAACTTAAATTATCGTTAAATTGGATACAGGTTCGGCTCGCCCTAACGTCCTCCTTATTGCCTGTGTCACATAGTGAATGCCAAGGAGCCAGCAGTTGGCGTTCTCATCCTGCTTAGCCAGCTGGTGGGGCCCAAGACAGAGGGTTAGTGCTGTTCCATCTGCAGCCCAGACCAGCTCAGAGAATGGTTATGTGCCTTGGGGTTTTCTTCATGCTGCTTCCTCCCTTGTTTTTAAAGGAAGAGATACTTTTCATCTATAAGCATAAAATGTGATTTAAAAGCACTCGATAAACTAATTTTACTGAGTTCCTACGTTGGGTAAGGTGGGCCTATATGCTCCTATAGAAATAGCCGGGGAGGATGACACCACCTAAATAGATTTTTTCCTTTTTTTATTTAAGTCTAACATGAGAAGAGCATACATTTCCAAAAGTTTTTAAACAAAATTGATCTGTTTTAAGGGACTAGCGAGACAATAGCTAGAGGTATTATGTAGGTGGTAAAATAGCCACGTAAAATCTTTGTTGCAACAGTAGCTTGGAAAACCGTTTTAAGTGCATATTATTTCATTTTGCTGTTTCACAAAGATCAATGTACTAAATGCTCCGGAGGCTCGAAAGAAATTAAATGGTAAGGTGCCTGCTCTTAGGGGCTTGAAATATAGTAGAAGGAATATAATTTGCATATTTTTAAAAGTGAGGTGGAATTGAGAAGGCAGGGAAATACAAAGCAGCATAAAGTGCAAACAGCTGTGTTTGTTACATGGCGTGAGCAGAGGGAGGAGTGATCGAGGGGTATGTGAACCAGGGCACTTGCTGGCAGTAAGCTTCAGGGGAGGCTTTGGAAGGTTTGAGGTACACGGATTGGCATTCTCCCTAGATATAGATGAGAGAATGATCTTGGCCAAGATTGCTTTCTTTTACTATATAAGGCTTGGGTTACGCCAACAGATGATGAGCCATGTGAGGGAACGAATGCTCAGATGTTAAATGAGGAAGATTCTAGTTAAGACACATTTATGAATACCTGTGTTCACTAGACAGGTAGCAAGACGTAGACATGCTGTATTTTTGCACACCTGTCAAGGTGAATCTCTCAAGCACTTGGACTAATGTCTCTGTGATTTATAGCATTCATTTCGTGTCTCTGTCATGACACATTATGAGACCACACGTTTGAGTTTAATGTGCCTAATTATACCTTTAGACTTTCCAGACTTAGAAACCCTTCCCAACATTGTCATAGCCCAGCATTCAAATGATGGCATCGTCTTTGAATAACCATTCACCTGCCATTCCCTCCTCCTTCCAGCCCCTGGCAACCACTAATATGCTTTCTGTGTCTATGGATTTGCCTATTCTGGATATTTCTGGATTGTTGTACAAATGAAACAAGTAAGGAAAGGTGTATGTTTTTAAAGGCCTTCCCCCCATTTCTATGTGATCACAGCTAAGGAGAATGATTTCCCAAAATAACCTGGGCATTATAACTTCCACAGTGTAGGTTCAGGTAGGGAACACGGTAATTTCAGGGGTGATTTCTGGCCAAGGTAGGATGAGCCAGAGCGGCCATTACGGTTACACCTCTTGGCTTATTTCCAGGAAAAGTATAGACTCTGAAAGCACCTTTACACCATGTAACGAGAATAAAGAAGAAAAATACATTAGCACGCTCTTCACGTGCGCTGGAAAGCGACCCCTTTCGTTATAATTTATTACCACTCTTCTCCAGTCCTAATAAAAGAGACCCGAGGCCGTGTACGAGGCGCTGTGAAAGACTTACCTCCCTTAGCTCCTACATGAACAAGGGGCGCTCCCCACACCTCATAACTTAGAGGAAAACAGAACTAAAGTCACCAGGGCTTGGAATGGGATCAGCATAACTCAGAAAAAGGCCTCGGGTGAGCCTGTACACAAAGGTCACCGCAAATTATTTAAAACTACCCACCACATTTCGTTGCCTGCAGTATCAGCTTATTATTGATGATGTTTCCCTACAGGCCAGTCTATTAGTTTCTTTCCCTAGCTTTTACTGAGATTTGCTTTATATATTGAAAATCTTTTCACTAAACAACTATACGTGCTAAATAAAAATGAACTAACAAGAAATGTTTCTCCTGAGAATCTCTCAAACTGTCGAGCTGTAAACATTAATTATCCATCATCCTGACTTGTTACATGAATTTCAATTTTTTTGTTTTAAGTATTTGACCATGAAAAGTATTCTCAGGATGCTTCCAGAAACAGCATAGGGGTATAAAAAATTTGAGTGGAGAGCTCATTCTTTACTTAAATTATTGCATTACTAGATCCTAATGGTGGAGGTGCTACAGAAATCACAGCAGTTATACAAAGTTCTCAAATTTCAAGAGGGCTTGTAGAAAGATCAAAATATATAAACAAAACGAGCTTTAGTATCACTGCTGTGTAAAAATTAATGTCAGGAAGAGTCGAGGTCAGAATGGGTTGAAATGTGTGGGGAGAAAATGCTAATAACAATTCTAAAGCAAGACAATAAATAAGACTAGAGATAGCCCTGCAGCTCGAGATGGTGGGGGGGGGGGAAGGTCAATGAGGAGACAAGAGTTAAGAGATGAGAGAGTAAGGGAAACTGTTCAACTCTCTGCTTGTCTGTAATGTCTGTATTGAAGAGGATGATCTTCTGAAAAGAGAAAATTAAAGCCTTGAATAGATCAAGATGAGAGAAGAAAGCACTAGCCCCTTTTATTAGTTATCTACTGTTATGTAACCAGTAACCACAAAACTTAGCAACTTAAAACAGCAAGTATTAGTTTCCTGTAGTTTCTATAGGTCAGGATTTCGTGGCTTGGTTAGGTGGTTCTGGCTCTCAAGACACCAACCAGTCATCTGAAGGCTTGCCTGAGGCTCATGTGTCTGTTTCCAAGATGGCTCACTCACATGGCTGTTGGCAGGAGGCCTCAGTTCCTGGCTATCTCCTGGCAGTAGACCTCAATACCTCACCATGGGAATCTCTCTATAGGGCTGCTTGAGTGTCCTCACAATATGGCAGCTGGCTTTCACCAGACCAAGTGATCCAAGAGAAAGTAAGGAGGAAGCTGCAGTGCCTTTTATGACCTACTCTCAAAAGTCACACATCATCACTTCCACCATGTTTTATTCATTAGCAATAAGTCACTATATCCAGCCCACACTCAAGGGAAGAGAATTAAGTTCCACCTCTTGAAGGGCGGAATATCAACAAATATGTGAACGTATTTTAAAACTACCACCCCTCTCTAGCTAAGTCCAAGTCCTTAATGACCAGGCAAATCACAGGCTAAGCGAACTTGAGGGAGAAATCATAGGACCACTCTCCTCGATCTTTGTGGAACTCTGGAGAAAGGCAGGGCTGGGAAATTAGGGATAAGAAAATGTTCTGACAGGCAGAGGGAGAGAAAATAGCTTCACAGTCTACAAGCAGGGTGTAGGCTGATGTTACTCTAGAGTCAGTTTTGGATATGTTGTTAACTGGCAGCTTATTGAGCAATTGGACAAGCAATCAGTGATATGTCAGCACCAACGTGGGTTTGCTAGGTCTTGTCAAGCTGTCCTCATTTCCTCTTTGGATAGGCTCTGCTGTTAGACAAGCAGCTCTGAACATTGTGCTTTTCAGTTTCAGCAAGGTGTTGACAAGTCTCACAGCACCTTGTAGATATGATCGTCAGACTGATGAGACCAAGAGCAAGAAATTAGGTCTCGCAACGGCTGGAGGAACTGGGAGTGTGTAGCTCAAGTAAGAGAAGAAGCAGCAGGAACATGGTACCCATTCCTTAGGTGTTTGAAACGTGTTCCAAGACTTACTCTGTAGAACCTGCCTCCAGGGGTGAAAGTTGCAGGAAAACTGATCTTGGCTTAATAGAAGAAAGGCTATTCTAGTAGATAAAACTCATGTTCATTTCTGTTTAAGCAGGAGCTGAAAGTCTACCCATTGGTGGGAATACCATTGAGGAGATGATTTTAAGAGCCCTTTTCCTTATAAAATTCTGATGTTTGATATTTCAGTGCTACGACGTGGAAACTAATATTCTATTCATACTGTCATTTTTAATGACTTTGCATTTAGTTTTTGAGCATCAAATTATTACTTGAATAGCAAAATTCATTAAAACTGTTGTACGAGATTCATATGGCAATTTATAGAGAAGGAAGTGTTAGTAGGTTATAAATTCTGCTAGTCCCAAAGAAGAATTTTCAAAAATTATAGACCCCAACTTTTTATTCAGCAGGTGAACCAGTTGCATTCTGTATCTGTAAGGAGAACACTTTACCAAATAAATGATACGAGTTTTACAATGCTTCACTGCATAGGTACACGAACATAATTTATTTATAATTGGAACGAAGCTCCCAAGTAGCTGTTTTGTTCTATTGGGTAATTAAGTCTCATTTTTAAAGCCTTGTATTATTTTTTCTGAAGGAATGAGAGCACAGGGAAAAAGAAGCATAATCGGATAAACAATAAGCCCCTAAACCAAGCCAGCAAACTCTTGGGACAGATTGGTTTCCAGTCAGCATTTGACTTCTATTCCCCCGCCCCCTTTATAAAAGTTATAGCATGTGTTTAAAGGAAGTAGAAGCTTTAAGCTCAGATACTTTAAATCTCTAATTTCTTTTTGTGTAAAATAGGTAGTGGTTAAGGTTTTAAATACGGGGTGTCATTTTTCTTGAAAAAAGTCATTAACTTATTTTCCTCTAACCTCAGGCCTAGAAATAAGTTTTTGTTGGCCTTTTTGTCATAATGTTACTGTTTATAGGTAAAATTAATTGAATGTTGTGCCTCTTTTAATTACGGCGTAATTCAGGCTCCGGGTTGACAAACATTAAGACAGAAGAGATCTCGGAAGTAAAGATGGACGCAGAGTTCCGACATGATTCAGGATATGAAGTTCATCATCAAAAATTGGTAAGTCAGCAGTTCACCTGTTTCTGCCACTCCGTTCATCTTGCCAAATTGTTAACACTTGTTCATCCTATGCCTGAAATCAAGATAAAGGAAAGATAAATATAAAACGTTTGCCTATAGGGCCACCATGAAAACATGACGAAAAGACACTCTGTAGTTCTTTATGACTTTCCGGTTGCCGTGGAGTCAACTCTGACTCATGGCAACACCATGTGTGTCAAAGTAGAACTGTGCTCCGTAGGGTTTTCCTTTTTCTTTTTTAAATAATTTTTGTTGCTGTTGTTGTTGTTGAATATATACAGCAAAAACGTACACCAATTCAAGTTTCTGTATGTACATTTTCCTGACATTGATTACATTCTTTGGGTTGTGCACCCATTCTCACTCTCCTTTCCTGAGTTGTTCCTCCCCCATTAATATACACTCACTGTCCGTTAGGTTCCTATCTAATCTCTCAAGTTGCTATTGTTAGTTTGATCCTGTATAGATAGATCTTAAAAGAGCGTAATGCTCAAAGTAGATGTTCTTTACTAGTTAAGCTAAACTATTGTTCAGTTTAAAGAAGACTTCAGGGGATATTTTTGGGTTAAGGTTTAAAGATTATTTTAGGGCAGTAGTTTCAGAGGTTAATCCAGCCTCCACGGCTCCAGAAAATCTGGATTCCGTGAGAATCTGAAGTTCTGTTCTGTATTTTCCCTGTTTTGAGCAGGATTCTTCTGTAGAGTCTTTAATCAAAATGTTCAGTAATGGTAGTTGGGCACCATCCAGTTCTTCTGGTCTCATGGCAAAGGAGGCAGTTGTTCATGAAGGCGGTTATCCACACATTTCATTTCCTCTTCCTATTCCTGACCCTCCTTCTTCCTTTGTTGCTCCAGGCAAATAGAGATCAGCTGTGGCTTCGATGGCCACTTGCAAGCTTTTAAGACCATAAGATTTTCAGTGGTTGGTTTTTCAGAAGTAGAATGCCAGGCCTTTCTTCTGAGGCACCTCTAGGTGGACTCAAACCTCCAACCTTTTGGTCTGCTAAGTTCATGCAGGGCTTAAATGGAATCAGTCCTATTATAGCAGCCATTTTAATTAACTTGCACTCTCTTTTCTAGGAATGTTTTGCTTTGAACAGCATCTACCTGCACAAGTCTTTGGCAATCATTATTTTCACATCACATCCACGTGGCCTTAACTGTACCAATTTGTCTGCTTTCTTGAAAACAATGATTGCAAAGGCTGTTTATAGATTCCTATGAAATACTGCATTATCTGAATAATGCTGTTAGTCTAGGTTTAGCATCTAAAGGATCAAAATCTCAAATAAACATGTCCAAACCCTACTTGGCTTCACTGGACACTTCACTGTATACATTTCACATTTGTAGCTACAACCCTTTGCTTCTTACCTCTCGCCCTTCCTTGCTGCCCCCTCCCCTACTCCCTCTGTTTAAGGTCTCCCATGGGAAGATCATGGGGACTCTGCCCAGGTGGGCAGAGGCAGGAAGTGGGTAGGGCTGCAAGATGCTCCAAGCAGTGCTGTTCATCTGAACGTTTGGCAGGGAAGACAGCAGCTTTCTTTTCAGATGAAATCACTTTTCTTCCCCTAAATGTTAGAAATGGAGTAAATGAAAAAGCACTCACCTCCCCTTCAGGCAGTTCCAGCAGCTGTATAAATCCTCCACCAAAAGCTTAGAAATTCCGATTAATGAAATCCTGGATTATGTTAGGGTTCCTTCCATTTTATCCTTAAGCACAGTAAACCAAAAACAACCAAACCCGTTGCCGTCGAGTCGATTCCAACTCATAGCGACCCTATAGGACAGAGTAGAACTGCCCCATACGGTTTCCAAGGAGCAGCTGAAGGATTTGAACTGCTGACCTTTGGTTAGCAGCCAAGCTCTTCACCACTGCGTCACCAGGCTCCAAGCACAGTAAAGGGGTTAAATTCGTAAAGAAGGCAACTTTATTGCACATTCAGTGGTTAACAAATATTGGTAGTGAATTCTCATAGTGTTAACAACACTTGGGACGTATTCTCTCAAGCACTTCTTGCATATGTGTGTGTGTGTGTGTTTTGCTCTTTTGCGAAAGGAAGATATCTAATATTCATAAATAAAATGTGTAAGTCCTAATATTAAACCCCAGAAGAAATGCCTTTATTGTTTGTGTCTCTTTTCTCTGTGAATAACTAGCAAATGAGCGCTGACTTGGGATTCAGGTGTGCGCTAACCCCCAGGATCTTTCTGGGAAAAGCTGGCAGCCTTGTGAAGTGTTAATCCAGTAATCCAGGCTAATCCAGCATCTATGATTATGAAGTCAGGGGTGATGCCGAAGAGGTTCAACAGAAAAAACTGGGGGTAACTGCTAAAGGGTTGGAAGTTGGTGGGGCACAGAGCTGAAGGTTAATGTGCTGATTTGGATTTCATGGGGCCTGTGTCATAGAAACCTCTCTCTGCACTAACCCTAACTCCTGTAATGCAACAGTGACTAATGGCTCCAGCAGCAATTAGGAGAATCAGCTCCCTCCACTGAGTTACTTGATAAGATAATGTACTATAATTAGTGCAATAAATATTACAAAATTATAGTATTTTCTTAAAGACATAGCAAGATGTCCAGACTTGCATTTATTCCTGATTTTACCTCAAACTAGTATTGTTAGCTAATTAAAGATTTGCTTTTTATGAATATGTTGAACCAGAATATAGGCTTACAAAGAGAAGTAATAATGAACAAGTTCTAATTTTATTGCAGATATACAGTGAGCAAAACCTTTTTTAAAAATTTGCTTTATTCGCTGTATTTTTTATATTGCCTTTTCAGACTGTTAAAATGTTAGTTTTAGCTATGAAAATCGGTCATTTTTTTTGCTCCTATCTTGAGGCTGGATTGAAAGGATTATTCACAGAGCTATTTTCGTGAATTTATATAACAAATGTGGTGTATGTTTAATAATAGCTTTAAGATCATCTCCTTATATAACCAGATAATAAAATGCCAACGTGCTTTCGTAAGTCTGTTTCAGTAAAGTAAAAAAATAATGATTGCTTTCATTTTATAAACAATATGAAGAAATGTCGCACAATGAATTTATCACACTTTGTCCATTTCTTCTTTACATTGTCCTCCAAAGTCTTTTTATCTTTAATCCAAATAAACAGCAAGATCAAAGCAATATTTTTTATTTTAGTTTCTCAGGACAGCATAGTAAAAATTGGCTTGTCCCAAGTTAAGTGCAACTATTGAAATTCTTGTCTTGTAGCCTACTACTTCTTCCCTGTGAAATAACTCCTAACAGCTTTGTGCTTCTCAGGGTTAATTAGTGTCCTGCTGAATTACTGTGTCTCAAAATAAGTAGCTAGACTCCTTTTTCATCTGTCTGAATGCCTTTGCTTCAAAAAGCTTATTCCTATGCATTAAAAATGTCCTTCCTTCCAAGGAAATTAGGATATCTCCAGGTTTGAAGAGCTCCTGAAGTACAGTTGTTTAGAGTCACGCATCAGGTCTCCCAGCTCTAAACCTGCTGTGATTGGGATAATGCTGACCTCCTTTCAGAATTCTGATCCCATTCTTGACAGTTTTTGTTAGATCCAAGAGCTAGCCTCCCACCTCTCATGGAATGTTCCACCTGTCATAGGGTTTCAGGTCTCTGCAAACTTCTGCTATGCCTTTTTAGTGGCATGTGAGAGAAAAGAAGAGTCCCTGAAACTGGGAAGCTACATTGTTCCATAGGCTGCAACTGTCATTCTTAATAAGTAGAATATGTGATTTTTCCTTTTTAAAGTAAGCACGGAATAATGAAGTGGCCAACCAACCCAAACTTAGAGTATAAGGTTGAGTGAGGGCAGAGAATGTACTGAAACTTCTCATATACCCCATCTAAATGTCTTCTGCAATTACAGTTCTTTCTCTTGATTTGTTTTCAAGGTATTCTTTGCGGAAGACGTGGGTTCTAACAAAGGTGCAATCATTGGACTCATGGTGGGCGGTGTTGTCATAGCAACAGTGATCGTCATCACCTTGGTGATGCTGAAGAAGAAACAGTACACATCCATCCATCATGGTGTGGTGGAGGTAGGTAAAATCAGCTGCATGCTTGTAAGTGGCTGGTAAAGAAGGACTACGAGAGAAAATAAGCTTTGTGTTAGGATCAGGTGAGTATCTGTTCTTAGGAAAAAAATATTCCTTCGTAGAGCTCAAGTTACAGCTTTTCTTTCTTTGGTTTTCATTCATTCCAGTTTATGCTAAGTACGTGGTCATGGCATTCAGTTTTGGGCTGCTACCTCAAATTATTATAATTTATATTGAAATGATCAAAATAGTACTAATGTAATGCCTGGCTTGAAGAAAGTTGTGATTACTTTCCAACGATGATTTAAAAAAAAAAAAAAAAAGAAGTATCAGAGATTAGAAATGAAAAAGAAGGTAGAAAGTTGCTCTTTTCAAAAAAACCTAAACACATTTACATACACCTACTCCTCATTTATCAGCATCTCATGGTCTAACATTTCGCATTTACAACAATAGTAAAAAAAATCTATTATCCCACTATTTTAGTGCATTAACAACGTACGTCTGGCAGTAATGAATGCTGAGGGTGCGAGGCAATAGTAACGCTGGCTATGATGGCTAGGTTACGTGTCAGCTTGGCTGGGCCATGATTCTCAGTGGTTTGTCAGTTATGTAATGATGTAATTTGGCATTTGTGTAATGATGTAGTCACTTTCCATTTTGTAATCTAATGTGATCATCCTCCATTTTCATGTAATGCCAATTTTCGCATGATAACCTGGTCTTTGGAACCTAACCATGTTGATAAGTCAGGAATGGGTGTGTGTATTCCTGGGGGTATTTTGTTGTTGTTGCTTTGTTTTGTTTTGTCTTTAGTCTTAAATAGTCTGGCCTCTAAGCTAAACCAGATTACAGGAAATAATAGTAACTTTGAGTAAAGAGTCTGGCCAGGAAAATCACATTGTACTAAATGGCTGAGCAAAACACACTTGGCTTTATTCAATGTGCCGAACGTATTACCCTGCACTTCCAACTGAAATATCTCAGCATTTTCAGGGTGTCAGTGCAGCGGCACTGGAGGTGGAGAGAGACACAACTAGCGACAATTATAATTAACATGTAATTATGCTTCTTTTAGAATCTTTCTCCCCAGGGGCCAATCTGTGACTAACAGAAGTATACAACACAGAAGTGGGTTACACCAACAAAACCGATTAGCTACAAGATTTAAATATGTCTCTTCTTAAACCTCCTCTTAAATGCAAAATTTTAAAAACAAGTAAAACTTTGCAACTAAGTTCTTCTCATGCATTTAAAATACAGTTTTCATAGATAAAAAACTCCACAGTGTATGCAGCTTTTTAGTAAACTATCTATTAGAGAAAGAACTGATACATTTCGAGAGTTACAGGATTTTTAGTTGAGTCTTTTCTGATTCATAGAGACCTTATGTGTAACAGAACGAAACATTGCCCAGTCCTATGCCATCTTCACAATCGTTGCTAAGTTTCAGCACATTGTTGCGGCCACTGTATCAGTCCCTCCATCACTATAAAGTCCAGATATTTCTGGTGAAGCAAATTTCTCACTAAGCCCAAGGAAATGTGCACCAAACCTATCTTTATTATAGGAGTACAGGAACAGCTTAAGTAAATTAAATTTGTGGTGAAGCCAGAAACCTCATTTTTTTCAGCACTTAAAATCCCCACAAACTAATTGTTTACAGGAGCTGCTGATGGAAAACAGTTTTGAGCCTTATTTCCCCTGTTCATACTGGTGTGGACGTTCTAAAGAGAAGGGAAATGAATGGAGTGCATAAAACAGTAAGATGAAAAAGAACTGGATGATTCACAGATTAGATTACGAATACATAAAATAAACAATGATACATCAACAAGTTTGGGGTTGTGGTTTTCATAATAGTATTTCTGAGCTTGTGGTGGCCCTCAAAAGAGTGAAAGATATATTATCAGTACAAAAAAAAAAAAATAACCAAACCCGTTGCCATCGAGTCAATTCTGACTCACAGCAACCTTATAGGACAGAGTAGAACTGCCCCACAGTTTTGAAGGAGCAGCTGATGGATTCAAATTGCCCACCTTTTGGTTAGCAGCCAAGCGTTTGGTTAGCAGCTGTAGCTCTTAACCACTGCACCACCAGGGCTCCATACTATCATTGGTGTCAGTTTATCTCATTTCTACTCAGTATGTTTTTTTTTTTTAATTTAATTCCACATTTGGACAAATAAAAATGGTGTCATACTTCAATAACTGAAAATCCCCTTCTTTTAATTTCTTGAATATAATGGTATCTCTCAATTGCCTTGGACAAGAGACAGCTTCCTGCCTGCACAATTTCTATCAGTCTCGGTGCCTGGCTGTGCTGCCATAGGCCAGAGAATTCACTGGTGCTGGACGGAAAAGCGAGGCCTTTAGCAGACGCAGGCTGTGCCTCAGACTTGGCAGGTAGCTTTCTAAGAGAACGTGTCTCCAGGTCCCGCTATAGACCTTGTGATGCAGAATATACAGAATCTCCAAGTAAGAGGCCGGGATCTGAGTGTTGAGATTTCCCCCATTTGCATCGGGCTTGCAGACAGGTTTGCGAATCACTGACATACAGTACTAGCACTCCTTGCTTTTACTTCTCTCTCTCTACTGTTAGTAAGCACACCTGAGATGGATAGTTGCCATTGAGTCAACTCCAACTCTTGGCAACCTTATGTACAACAGGACAAAACCTTGTCTGGTCCTGCATCATCCCCACGATCACTGGAGTCCATTGTTAGAGCTGTTGTGCCCATCCGTCTCACCAAGGGGTGTCTCTCATCCTCCATGGCCTTCTGCTTCACTAAACATGATGTTTTCCTGCAGCGGTTGATCCTTCCTGATGATGTGTCCGAAGCAAGCGAGTTGGGCAGTGTTCTGTTATGATCCATAAGGTTTTCATTGGCTAATTTTCAGGGGTAGATCACCAAGCCTTTCTTCTTAGTCTGTCTTAGTCTGGAAGCTCTGCTGAGACCTGTCCATCATGGATGACCCTGCTGGTATTTGAAATACCAGTGGCATAGCTTCCACCATCACGGCAACACACAAGCCACCACAGTACAGCAAACTGTATTTTTATGAATAGAGTTGTTACCAGTTGGAGATTAGTGGTTGCTGGTTTTTTAATTTTTAAATATAAACCATCAGTATTGATTTAATGATTTGCTTGGTCATAAGGCCAGTGATTCATCCAGTAAGCCATTAGCCATGCTTTCCAAAGGCGGTGACTTTGCTTTATTTTTGCGTCAAGCAGTGAAGCGAAAGCCCTTTGACTTACTGTTTCCCAGAGGTGCCTACTGTGTCAGAGTAGCCCAGTGGTAACTGAAAATCATGGTGCCAGCGGAGTTATCCAGTGCTGAGTGCATTTTAATATGGTCCTGCAAAGTCCTATAACACCAGGTTCTGTTCAGTAACAGATGGAACTTTCCTACACTCGTGGACTTTGGCAGTGAATAGTTGAAAATTTACATTGTAGCCCTTTCCAATCGCCCTCAATTAGAAGGGCCGTGGCACACAATTTCTCCTTATTGTAGGGTGTGGAGGAGTGCCTTTTTGTGGATCTGATCATGGTAATACCAGAAATAAACCCACTGCCATCCAGTTGATTCCAACTCAGAGCAGCCCTATAGGGCAGAGTAGAACTGTCCCATAGGGTTCCCAAGGCCACAGTCTTTATGGAAGCAGACTGTCACTTATTTCTCCCGCGGAGCGACTGGTGGGTTCGAACCTCTGACCTTTTGGTTAGCAGCCAAGCACTTAACCACTGTGCCAACAGGGTTCCTTAACACCAGAAATGCCTGTCTCCCAGTCATCTCATTAATGATTTAAATAAGAACAGAGTTGCTTATTTAGCTTTGTGCGGAACTATGACGTATGGCTTTTCCTGATGAATGTGTGTCATACTCATGGCATTGTAATATATAAACTTAGGGGTCCTTTCTCCCTAACCAGAAGTTGACCACCAGGATTGAGGCATCTCACAGCCGCTACTGCGGGTGTCATAGAACAGTTAGAATCACCAGGTTAAATTGGAAACAAAGACAGGGAAGAAATGAAGGTAGATGAGAAATCTGTATGTGGCTTAAAGTGAACAGCAGGAAGATACTTTGGAAGGTCAGAGGAAAGAATAGAAAATGATGATGAAGAAATAGCAAAGGAGTTTCGGAGCCTGCCAGAAGAATGACTTCAGTACTGGCAATGAACGTAACTAGAACTCGTTATAAAGAGATGTAATTATAATTAAGAAAATGAACAAATACACAGTTGAGCAGAAAATCAGCACTGGGAGGGATGAGTTCATGACTTGCTTGTCTAGTCTTTTACTTAGCTTTTGGTCTCCCTTCCCATCTCACCTGGCTCCTTTGATGTCATTACACTCTTTGGTTAATTACATGTTAGTTATCCTCTCCTCCTTTACTCCTTTACCTTGATGGCCAGAAATGGACAGTCTTAGGGAACCGGGCTTCTATTGTTTGGCCTAACTCAAAACTCGTTGCCATCGAGTCAATTCCAACTCATAGAGACCCCATAGGACAAAGTAGAACTGCCCCATATGGTTTCCAAGGAGCGCCTGGTGGATTGGAACTGCTGAGCTTTTGGTTAGCAGCCATAGCTCTTAACCACTATGCCAACAGGGTTTCCCAGCCTAACTCGGTGCTATGCATAAGGGGACACCCATATGTGTTAATTAGCACCTAAGAACATGCATCCTGCTGGTTACAATACATAATAAAATTAATTGTGTTCACTGTTCCTCCTCTAAGCTTAACATAAATACACCAGAGGTGGTATAAACTAAGGAGACCCAAATAGAATTTTATCTTTATAGTCTGATGGTTGCAGTATAAGTTCCTCTGGATATAGTGGAGGAATAAATAGCACCTAAGAAAGAGTCAAGTTCAGGAAAGGGTAGGAATGGGACAAAAGCCAAAGAGTATTCCACGGTTCTGCACAAAGCTGTTTTAGGACAAGTGACTCAGGCTGTTTGGGCTCAGCTTTTTGAGGTGGACGCCCTGGGTGGTACAAACATTAATGTGCTTGGCTGCTAACTTCAAAATGGAAGTTTTGCATCCAACCAGAGGCACCTTAGAAGAAAGCCCTGGTGATCTACTTCCAAAAAATCAGCCTTTGAAAGCCCTATGGAGCACAGTTCTACTCTGACACACATGGGGTCGCCATGGGTCAAAATCAGTTGGACGGCAACTGGTGGTTGTCTGCAGTAGCCAGTTGAAGCCATGCTCCGGTGCAGTGCAAAGGGCGCCAGGGTTTCTCATGAAGACACAGTGCATGGTACTGACCCCTAAATGAAGACTTCCCATCAGTCGCGCCTGCTGTCTAATCCGCAGAGTCAGGAGGGAGACCAGCAGAGGTGCTGTGCGTGTGTGTTCCAGCCCAGCAAGTGGCGGGTCTGTCTGCCCGGGGAGAGGATGGAGATTCTGCCCCTGAATTCATTGTTCTGTGCTGCTTTCCGGAACAAACACAGCTGGCTTGAACTCCCCCAGCTCTTTTTTGGAGAAATACTATTCAGGTGTTAGAGCAGTGACTGTCTGCGCGGGGCCCCCCGAGACGGGCCCACACCACTCCTGTGCCTTAGCCGTGAGGAGGAGATCGATGAGCCTCACTGATGACAGAGGTTGGCCTTTGCTCAGTGCTCTTCCTTTTGTGGTCGTTGTTAGCATGGCAACCCCCTGCACAGTGGAATGAAACACTGCCTGATCCTGCACCATTCTCATGACCAGTTCCAGTTCAGACTGTTGGGATCCAGAGTGTCTTCACTGGTTGATTTTCAAAAGCAGACCACCAGGCCTTTCCTCCTAGTCCATCTTAGTTTGGAAGCTCCACGGACAGACAGGTGGAGGCTGCACATGAGGTGCATTGGCCGGGAATTGAACCCAGGTCTTCCACATGGAAGATGAGGATTCTACTCCTGAACCATCAGTGCTTCTGCTCTTCCTCTGGTGGTAGATAATATCCATGGGCGTGAGTACTCAGTTCTTCATTTCTGGCTTTGGAGGGGTTGAGGATAAAAAGATGGCAAGCCAAACCCCTTGGATGCCATTTTGTGAAGATAATCCCTTCCCCTGTAGATGTGCGCCCTCTGAGGTCTAAGGGCCAAGCCACCCCACGGCAGGAACGGTGAAATGTGAGCTCCCCTCCCAGCAGCACAGGGTAATGAGGATTAGCCAGCAGGAAGGAGGCTAAGACGCTTGCCCTCTGAGCCTTGTGTTTCTGGCCGAGCTCCCGTAAGTGTCTGGCTTTGGTGTTTGAAGAGGAGACAGGCTGTTAAATTGCCAGGTCTTCCCCTGCCCTTGAGGAATGCAAATGATTGTTGACAGCCAGTGTGAAGGTTGATGTGCCTCCTGGAGGAGATAAAAGTATAATCGTCCAATGATCAAGTAGCATTATGGTTTTTGGATTTTTTTCCCCTACATTCAGAAACATGCAGCTTTGTGCTTTATCTCTTAAGCAGGTAAATAATTTTTTTTTTTTTTAAACCCTAATGCTCTTTGAAATCTCAGTTCAGAGGTGGTATAAAGCAAAAAAAGACGCCCAAGTTCGAATGGTATACTGTTGGAGACAGGCCATTTCCCAGCAAGCTGATTCGGAGAGTGAATGAAACATCTTGTTATCGGTGCTAGCCTTTACTGGTGGCGTTTTAACTTACAAGTCCGTGGCTAATTACACAATTACCAGTTAAAACATGGTGACCTCATTTGTTGACAGCACTGCAGATCAAAGGGAAGGGAGAGGATGGGAAAACATCTGTGCATTAGTTCCATGAGGACAGTGACATTGGGGAGCAGTTAAGCATCGGTTTGAGCAACACCCTCTGACTGCTAACTGTTCGTTAGAGATTATTGGTGGCATTGTTCTAAGAGGAAACCCCCAGGCTTGTCACTGGAATAATCTGAAGACCTGCTACCAGAAAACACGGCAGCTCTGACAAGATGGTACAGTGGGAACAATTCATAGTGGCATGAGTGGGAAGTTAAGAAGGAGGACATTGTTATGGATTGAATCGTGTGCCCCCAAAATGTGTATCGACTTGGCTAGGCCATGATTCCCACTATTGTGTGATTGTCCACCGTTTTGTCATCTGATGTGATTTTCCTATATGATGTTAACGGGGCAGGATTACAGACAGTTATGTTAATGTGGCAAGACTCAATCTACAAGATTCGGTTGTGTCTTAAGTCAATCTCTTGAGATGTAAAAGAGAGAAGCAAGCAGAAAGACATAGGGACCTCATACCACCAAGAAAGTAATGCCAAGTGCAGAGTGCATCCTTTGGAACTGGGGTTCCTGCGCCAAGAAGCTCCTAGACCAGGGGAAGATTGATGACAAGGACCTTCCCCCAGAGCCAACAGACAGAGAGAAAGCCTTCCCCCTGGAATTGGCACCCTGAATTCGGGCTTCTGGCCTCCTAGACTGTGAGGGAATACGTTTCTGTTTGTTAAAGCCATCTACTTGTGGTATTTCTGTTGTAGCAGCACTGGACGACTAAGACAGGCATGTAAAGAAGGGAGCATGCTGGCCCAAAGCACGAGGGAGCTGTGCATCTATGCCAGCTGCCTTGGGATTAACCATTTGCTATCAAGTCGATTGCAACTCATGGGGGCCCCATGTGTGTCAGAGTAGAGGTATGCTCCATAGGGATTTCGACCAATGGCTGATTTTTTGGAAGTAGATCACAAGGCCTTTCTTCCGAGGTGCCTCTGGGTGGACAAGAACCTCCAGCCTTTCAGTTAGCAGCCGAGCACATTAACCGTTCTCACCACCCAGGGACTCCGATCTTAGAGGTAAAGCAGCATAGTAAGAGAAAGGAACTATTTGTAAACCTTTAGTCGGACAACGTATTATAGTATCTTTGTGCTCAGTGAGAAGGAAATCTATAATCTAGAACCTCATGCCCTTGCTGTATGTTTCCTTTTTCCAAATGCTAAATAATAGCCCCTTTCTCCAAGGGAGAAATATGTGGCAGTCTGCTTCCGTAAAGATTTACAGCCTTAGAAACCCTATGGGGTTGCTATGAGTCGATGGCAGTGGGTTTCGTTTTTTTTGTTTTTTGTTTTTGGCTTTTGATACACATACACCATTCTTTTAATTAAATGATTCTCAAACCTCTATTTAACATATGAAAGTTAATGAAAACAGATAAAACTGAAACCGTTGCCGTCAAGTCAGTTACAACACAGAGCGACCCTATAGGACAGAATAGAACTGCGCCATAGGGTTTCCAAGGAGCAGCTAGTGGATTCAAACTGCCGGCCTTTTGTTTAGCAGCCGTAGCTCTTAACCACTGGGCCACCAGGGCTCAGATTAAGAGAAGCGTGGGGAAATGTCGAGCGGTCCGGGAAGTCGAGTGTTTTCCACCCAGATTGGAGCAGCACCCAGTGTACTTTGCCGTGAATCCCCCTCCCTGACACGCTTGGATTTTTTTCTAGCTTAGCACCACATTTTCAAATATAACAGTCTTCCATCACCGTGAAACAATCTTCCATTGCAGCTGCTTGTCCTTTACTGAGCCAACTGGGAAGAAAAAATATTTATCTAGATTTATCCCGTTATTGGTGAATTGGGGAAGCAACCTGGGAGGTTTTCACAAGCCTGAGCCAGCACGTTTTAAGCGCCACCTGGTGGCTAGAGACTAGATAGGCCATCTGGTGGGCAAGGGTTCTGTGCTGCTTTTTGAGATGTCAAAGGTGGAAAGAAAGAAAGATAAAAAATAGGTGTTCTGCCATCTTGGCAAAGGAAGAGAGTACCAGGCTCTTTATGTTTTTACTGCTTGCACGTGTGCATCCTTAACGGATTGATTTTTTTTTTTGACACTCAATTCTCATCACCTTTCCTTTGCAGGTTGACGCGGCCGTGACCCCCGAGGAGCGCCACCTCTCCAAGATGCAGCAGAATGGCTATGAAAACCCAACTTACAAGTTCTTCGAGCAGATGCAGAACTAGACCACCACCACAGCAGCCTCTGAAGTTGGACAGCAAAACCATTGCTTCACTACCCATCGGTGTTCATTCATAGAATAGTGTGGAAAGAAACAAACCCTTCTGTTTTATTATTTACTCATTATCGCCTTTTGACAGCTGTGCTGTAACACAAGTAGATGCCTGAACTTGAATTAATATACAAATCAGTAATGTATTCTCTCTCTTTACATGCTGGTCTCTACACTACATTATTAATGGGTTTTGTGTACTGTAAAGAATTTAGCTGTATCAAACTAGTGCATGAATAGCTCTCTCCTGATTGATTATCACGCATAGCCCCTTAGCCAGTTGTATATTATTCTTGTGGTTTGTGAC